AGGAGCTGTAACTCCCCCCCACCCCCTACCCTATGGCTAGGGCTGAGTGAGCAACCTTCGGATCAGAAGCCACTAAGGAGACAAAGCTTATCTCCCTGGCAGAGGCCCTGTCTCTGCCCCTTTTACTTCACCCTGCCTGGCCCTCAATACTTGATAGGTTAGCCAATGACAGGTAAGATTCCCTAAGGGAGGGATGACCTAAGAGAGGCATGATCATGGGGCAGGGCCCGGGGAAGGACTTGGGGGCTACAGAAAAGGCGTGATGGACCCTCACCCCTTGGCTCTGACACAGCCTGAGTCCTTATTCTGTCTGCGAGAAGTCTCCTAATCTCTTGGCTGCCTTACTTTTCCTGCCTGACTTAGCCCGAAACAATGACTTATGCCTAAAACAATGCTGGTGGTGGGTGCAGCCCTGTGCTGGAATGGGCTGGTTCCCGAGGGTGATCAGGACTAAGAAAGAATATGTAAAATCCTGTGGAACCTGCTTTGTTCAGAATGCTCTCAATTAAATGATAAGGGTCCAAGCAGGAAGTAAGTTTGTTCTCCAAAGTTTTATGGCCCTTTAGCTAACTGACCCTGACTCAAATAAGGCCCTCATAGTTCTTTATATATTATCTGTTGTTTGATCTTTAGTGCCTGATAATGATTAATAAACTTTTTGTATACACCCTGTATCCCTATGCAAATTGAATCCAATAAAAGCCCCTCAAGGCAAGGGTTGGGGTGCTCTCCTTTTGAGACTGTGGCAGACACCCTTCAAGGCTTGCTGTCCCCTGGAGAGAGAAGTCGCGCCGTCCCTTTCCCTCCACAGGACTCGGTAGTCCATGAGAATTTATTTCATCTCACCTATAATGCCATGGACACTGCGGGCCGGTGTCCAAGTCAGAAAGGAATTCACTTTAGAGACATCACAGTATTCCAGGTTTAAAGAGATAAAGCGAGAGCCTGAACCAGGATAGTGCCTGCAAGGACAGAAAGGAAGGGGTGTGTGGGGGAGAAATTATGGAAAAGGACTTGTTAGGAGCTGGAGACCGGTAAAAATTAAGAAGAATATGGGAAAATCAAAGAGCAGTTTGAGGTCTTTTTTAAAATATTATTTTAATTGTTGTTCATGTACAGTTATCTTTTACTCCCATCCCAGTTTGAGGTCTTAATATTGAAAAAATTATAGTATTAGTTCCTAAGAAAGAAGATGGCTTTCAGATGTAAATTGGCAGGTCTGACTTTGAACAGCCTAATTTTGATTACAGCGGAACATCTGGGTGAAACTGTCCACTAAGCAGTTCAAATGTGGGATGAGTGATCAGTTTAACTTCTAGTAGAAGGACAGAGAATGGAGAAGCCATTCTTTGGGGAAACGTATCTTTCATGTGTAAAGGAGAAAGGGAACCACTGAAGGTGAGGAAGGACAGGTCTGATGTGTAGAAAGAGAAGCGATGATGTAAGATGAGGTGTCAGATGAACCAAGAGAGGAGAGAGGTGGAAGCCAGGGGGTGGGGGTGGGTGGTCGAAAAGGAAGACAACAGTGGTGGCCACTAGATATTCATGGGGGCCACTCACCTTTTCTTGACCTTCTTGCTTCTGAATGGCACACAGGCCAAGGTTATAAGGAGCTTAGGAGAAAGAGGAAGGCTCTGTGGAGTAAAGATTGTAGGTCCTGCATTGATATCTTTATTAACAGCCTCACAAATAAATCCCAGTCATGGTCAGCAGCACCATCTTTGAATACAGCAAATCTATCATTTAATATATATCAAGTTCTTGTTAACATCGTCTTGAACTACCCTGAATCATCAGTTAAGATGCTTTGGCTGTAAGTTCAGAAACAGACTCAAACTGGAGTTAACCACACGTTGGAAGTCCTGAGGTGGGGTAGACATTACAGTTGGTTGATTAGTCATGAAGGACCCCAATTTTTTTTTTTTAAGATTTTATTCATTTCTTTTTCGAGGGGAAGGAGAGAGGGAGAGAATATCAATGTATGGTTGCCTCTCATGTGTCCCCCACTGGGAACTGGCCTGCAACCAAGGCATGTGCCCTGACTGGGAATCGAACAGCAATTCTTTGGTTCACAGGCCCGCGCTCAATCCACTGAGCTACACAAGCCAGGGAAGGACCCAAGTTTTTCTCATTTCTCCTCTCTGTTCTCCCCCATTGGAAGCTTACTCCTCAGGGAATTAGCAACATGGCTGCTGCAGTTCCCGATATTGCAACTGAACTACAACTATTTGGAAGAAAGGAGAGACCACCTCTTCCTGTAGCTCTCCCCTAGGAGTGAAGAAACTTCACAGAAGCCTCCCAACAGAAGCAGTTCTATCATGCTTCACTGGCCAGAAGTAGATAATCTGAAAACACCTGTCACAACCATCTCAAACAAGGGGTGTGATACGCGGGAATCTGTGTTTGTGACGAGTCAGGAGTTCACTATAAAGACTGACGTAGAGCCACAAATCTCTGAGCTAGGGAGTGAGCCTAGCTAACACTTCAAGGTGGCAATGCGACCACAATTTAGTACATGATTCCACTGAACTTACAACAATACAGGTAGATACAGTTTTGGTTTTACAGGCACAAAACGGAGAGAATGATATATTCTTGCTGTTGATCGAGAATTTGGGCCGAAGCACTGTTGACATTTTGAATGGGGTCATTCTTTGTTGTGGGGCTGTCCTGTGCATTGTAGGGTGTTCAGCAGCATCCCTGGTTTCTCCTCACTAGATACCAATAGTATCCCTTTCTCACAGGCTGTGACAAGCAAAAACATCTCCAGACATTGCTAACTGTTCTTTGGTTGAGAACCAAGGTCTTCCATTTATTAACCCTGATCATTAAACTCTAAAAATTCAAGATATAAACCTCAAACTATTTCAACACTTCATTTCTATCAGGGGCTGAGTTCTTTAACTAAGTCTAATATACGTTGTTGATGATAAAAACAGGTATTAGGATGGAATGAACATATTTTGCATACATATTTTCCTATCTTTTCCGTTATTTTTACCCTAATGTGGATCAAACAGAATGAGCCTTTTTAAGGCTTCTCATTCATACTCTCAAATTACTGACCGTAAAAGTTGTGTCAATCTATTGTGCAGTTTCTCAACCATGTAAGACTCTATCTTATCACACCTTCCCCTGCACTGGCTATTATATAAACATTTCTGTATTTGTTAATATAAGATCTTATTTATATTTACCTTTAATAAATGATTATATTTATATTGTCTTATATTTTCGAGCATAGTAAGAGTGAACATTTTCCCATATGGTTTAGGCAGTGATACTTTTTCTTTTCTCAACTGTTCATGCTTCTTGCTCATTTGTGTGTTGAGGTCTTACTGATTATTCTATTCACTTTGTCTGAGCTCTTCATATTACATAACCTGGAGAGCATATATTTCTACCAAAGAAGCTCACATACAGCATATGATCTTAGACTTTATTAAAGTTGAGGTGCATGGCTAAGGATTTACATCATAGCAATTGAAGCTAATCTCTGGTGGAGTTCTAAACACTCCTATTTCTACAAGCCTTTTGTCACATTGCTCTCTTTTTTCCCTCCTCTTTTCCTTCACTGGCCTATGCTTCCATCCCTGCCTTCACCCGGCTCCCCTACCACTCCTGCTCCTTTCTGATCTGTGTTGTAAACTAGTTTGGTTATGTCTTTGGTTTTTGTCTCCATTTACCCAAGCTCCCAGTGTATCTTCTACTCTACTAGTTTATCTAGGTATTTCCCTATGCAAGGACATTTCCTTCCCTAAGGGGAATACCACTACCAACTTTCAAGATTTTTTTGATATTGTATGGTGTGAAAAATGATTTTGATTCCTATTGTGCTATTTTAAATACTTTCCTTTGTTTAATAAAAATCTTTTTTCTTTGAAAAGATAAACCTTATCTATGCATTTTTTCAGTATTTTAAGTTTAAAAGGTGCTTCCAGATGGAGAGTATTTAGATAGTTGGAAATGGAGAAAAAGGTGTGGCATGCCTTGTATACATACTTAGATACTGTGCTCAATACAGACTTCATTTAATCCCCACGATACCTCTAGGTATAAGATATGTATTATTACCACCATTTGACAAAGGAAGAATTTGAAGCTTAAAGGCCTAAGATCACACAACTAGTCAGTAGTGGAGCCAGGATTTAAAACCAGATGTCCATTCAGTCCCTGGTGTGACATCAGCTGTGACCTACGGTTCTTCACTTTTCTCATCTCTAAACTTAAAGAACTAAATTAGAATATCACAGAGTTCTCCACCATTTCTGAAACTATATTCTCAATTAGAATAATACCATCTGTCTTCCCACGCCAATGAAATCTACAAGGTTTAGGAGAGCGGCTTGCTACCTCCCCTGCCCACCGCTCTCGCCCCTTCCCCCAGAGGATGTATTTTCTCCTGTCCAGGCCTTCGACCTGAAACCCTCCTGGGTTTCTCAATCTGATGTGGTTTCTACTATTCGTGTTTATCACACACTACACTACTCCTGAACTAGATAACGTAACTAGATAACGTGCCCAAACGGTGATTTGCTCCGATAGATAACCCTAAAAAAATGAGCTCAATGCCTAGTGCCCAACAAATGCTCCGTGAACATTGTACGGAGTCCACTCCAAGGCGGCTAGAAGGAAAACGTGAATCAGCTGAAGTGAACCAGTAAGCGCATTACTCAGAAAACGGGGCTGTCTGAAGAAAACTCCGAGGGAAGGATCCTGTGTAGAGAAGTACTAAACGCAGAACCCTATAGCAGTGAGACAAAGTTAGGGATGGTAGCGGTGATGTTTTATTCGGGGCGAAAGAGACTCCACCCGGACCCTGGCAGGAGGGGAAACCCACCCACTACGGAAGTGGGCGCCAACCGGGACTGCCGGGTCACCCGGGTCTCCCGGCTTCCCCCGATCCTGCCAGCCCCGCCCTCCTGCGGAGTTCGCGGTAGAAACTGAGGATGCGCAGTAGCGCGCGTAGGCGCGGCCGCGCGCGCTGCGGTCAGCTGACTGCTCTTGCTAGCACGTGACTTGCTCCTTGGGCGCTGAGGACGTGGAAGCCTTGAGGCCGGAGCTTAGGTTTGGGAGGGATGGAGCGCTGAGCCGTTAACGTCTGCCGGGCTGCCCGCCTCCGTACCTGTTATCTGCTGCCAGTTCCTCGTTTGACATCTTCCTGGGTTAGTGAGCGATGGCTGCCCCAACGGGCGTCCTGGCCAGGCCGAAGCTTGCGCTGCGATCGCCGGCTGGGAAGGATGGGGGCGGCGCGGGGCTCGAGGCTGTGGCGTTGGAACTTGCTGGGTGGCTGTGACTGGTTTCTCGGCACAGGTTTTTCGTAACCTTGGGCCCAGGTTATGTGTCTTAGGACGAGGAAGGAGGGGAAAAGCGAAAGGGGCTACTCAGTGGCAAAGGCAGGAAGGAGAAACACTGCGAATCTGGGACATTTTTCCTTGGGTGAGGTTGGGGGTGGTCACAGAGTATCCACGCCCCCTTGATTGATGGGGATGAAGGTGGCAGAGTGGCCCAAATGCGGACCTGGGCTGATGTGTGAGATCACAGGGAGCACAGGTTTTTTTTTTTTACCAGGTGTAGGCGGATGGCAGTTTGAAGAGACTGGGAGCCCCTCCTAGGGGTCCCTCACAGAGGACGAAGGGTCCTTGTAGGCAGGGGAAAAACAATCCAGAGAATTAAAACCATTTATTAAAATGGGAGAAGGGCAGGCAAGAAACCCTTGAAAAACTTGAGGGGGGAGTCACATGCAGCAAATTGAATCACTGACAAACAGGAGTTAGGGGAAGCTAATACTCTTTAGAGGTAAAATGTGGTATGTCAGGGGGAGAACATTTCGGTGAGCGCGCAGTACTTTGCAATGCTCTGGGAGTGGAGGAGCAGGATGTAAACAGTTCAGCCTGAAGGTTTGCACCAGTCTTGGGGAGGTAAGTCACACACATGACACATTGAAGTCCTATGAGGTTACTGGTAATTATCGAAAAGAATGTTAAGTGCTTTGGAATTGTGGAGCAGGCACAGCTGTATGGACTGGCACTACCACTAAATATTCTGGAGGAAAGGTGACAGGTTAGGTCTTAGCAAGCCAGTGGGATTTGAACAGGTGGAGAGAAATGGGGAGAACTTTCTAGGCAGGGGAAGCCGCAGGATTTGAAGGCCTGAAGATGAGGGGAAAGTGCTTGTAGGGGAGTCAGAAGTCTAGTTTTGTGGTGGATTTGATTTACGGAGAAGTGGGGAATAAAGTAGGGGTCAGGTCATGACTTCTGAACGATTTATTTTCTTATGCACAGCTAATAACGTGTTGAGCTGTATACAAGGTACTGTGCAGATGCTAGGGTTTAGAAAACAGGATCTCACAGATTTTACAGGCAAGCGGAGGAGATGGATTTTTAATAAATAATTGTGTAAGTCTGATATTTGCTTTGAAGGAGTACCAATGAAGTGAAAATTTATAAAGGACGTGGCCTTTATAAAAGGTTCAAAGAAGGCTTTTTGGAGGCTATGACTTTCGAACTGACATCTGAAAAGCAAGCGAAGATGTAAGCAAAGGCATTCCAGGCTGAGGGAACAGCATATGTTTAAGTCCTCATGCCCTGGCTGGTGTTGCTCCGTGGATGAAGTGCTGGCCTGTGCTTAAGGGTCGCCAGTTCGAGTCCCAGTCAGGGCATATGCCTGGGTGGCAGGCCAGGTCCCTAGGTTTTCCTCACGTGTCAGTGTTTCTCTCCTAGTTTTCTCCTTTCCTTCCACTCTCTCTGAAAATAAATAAAACCTTTAAAAAATAAAGTCCCGAGCTGTGAGGAGGAGTAAAGCTGTTGAGATGTTGTAGGGGCACTAGCATGGCTGAGTCTGGAAGGAGCCATGGAAGACAGGTCGGCAGGTGGGGGAATCCTGGGGTTAGGCCCAGCAGGGCTTTTATTCTTAGAAACTTTTTATTCTTAAAAAAGAGGGAAACCAGAGAAGATTATAGGTAGCGAAGTGGGTCAGATGTGGATTTGAAGTGAAAATTCTGTTGTGAATGTGGAGGATGCAAGAGCACTAAATGAAGAGAGAGCACCTCAAGAAGACATTGTAACTTTACCAAGAGACGGCAAAGCCGATGAGACTTTTCTGAAAGATTGGAAGGCAAAATACTTTATCTCTTCCCAAAGGTAATTAAAGAGAATGTTTAACTATACTTTTAGAAGCTAAGGATTTGGGGAAGGGAGAGAATGATTCTGTTTGCACTTTCAGTGAGGGTGGTTATAGCTACTTCCTGAAGTTTGCAGGGGAGGCTGGGCCATTTGGGATTGATGGAAATCCATTTTGGCCTTCCAAGTTTATCCTTTGGTAATGTCATCTACTCCAGAATATCTTTTGCTGAACAATAGTCACAGGGAGGACTTGGTTACCTTTCATGTTTATTTGCACAGGTCTGTGAGGGAAGTAGATGAATATTCTCTGTGTAAGTAGGACTCTATCTAGGACTTTGGAACTAGGAACTAGATAAAGTGATTTGTCTAAGTCTGGCATAACTTCCAGGGTAGCTGGTGTATTGTTCCTGCTGATGACCTGCACAGTGCTTCACACGGTCCCATTGAGAGAGAATGGTCAGTTTCTTGAAGTGCACTGTAACCTTTGATTTGGAACTTTGGCTGAACTTTTTCTAGTAGGACAGCTTCAAGGGATTTGGCAGCTAGTGGTCAGTGCTTTAAAAATCAGTTTCTGTGAGCCTGGGTGATGCTATTCAGTTGGAGGTGATGATGAACAGCAGAGGAGAGCTGAAAGTGCTCTGGTCCCCAGTTGGTTCTTTGCGCAATAACCACGTCTCAGAATGTGCGGAAGACTGAGCCTCAGGGCTGTGTCTCAGAATTCCTGGATCTTTTTATCTTTTGGTAAGTCTTGCAGGGACTAGACTAGATAAAATCTTAAAAAAAAACCAACACAGTACTTGGGGTCTGACTAAAGTAAATGCTGAAAGTTAGTTGGTTAGAGTAATTTCGCTTTTAAAACTGTGCAGGAAATGTTCTTTTTTATTGGTTGGCATGTTTGTCTTTAAGAACTTCATTTACATTAATTTTTATAACCTAAAAAGGAACTTTGGGCTTCAAAAGACTGATCCTCTGATTCCCCACCCTGCACTCCCCCCTCCAGCTTATTAAATAGTTCCATTAGCAAAAGAGCAACTGAAAACCAGAACAGACCTTTGCCTAAGCTCTAGTCCCTGAACAGTCTTTCTTTTGACCTTGAATCCACTTAGGGGTAACTGCAGTTGTGTAACTAGGTACCTCCTAATTAAATTTTGTTGTTGTCTGTATTCTGATCTGTCTGGAAGAGTAAATCTTTTTCACTCTTTGGATGTAGATTTTTATACAGTTTTAGTTGTAAACTTATTCATATTAAATTCCCATTTCACTGATGTTTTTAAAGACACAGGAGAAACCATTAGCATAATACCTTTGGAAAGATAGCTTAGGTAATGAACCAGGGCAATCTAAAATTTCCTGTTAACATGAGTGGCCCTTGGAAGTAGAAATTTCAAACTGTATTCTTTTTTGTTTTTAAAGATATTATTTGTTTATTTTTTAGAGAGGAGAAGGAAGGGAGAAAGAGAGGGAGAGAAACATCAATGTGTGGTTGCCTCTCATACGCCCCCCACTGGGGACCTGGCCCACAACCCAGGCATGTGCTGGGAATCAAATTGGAGACCCTTTGATTCTTGGGGGTGAGGTGGGATAGGGGGGTGGAGGGGCACTCAACCACTCAGCCACACCAGCCAGGGCTCCAACTGTATTCTTGATAGTGAAGCAAAATTATTTTCCAGTGGCAAAGCTACTTCAAATGCTATACCATCGTGCAACTCTGCTGAGAGAAGTTAGGTGGGCAGTGGAGGAGAGGTACTTTGGTTCCATCAGAGAATAAATGATGGAGCATTGGCTCTATATTTAAAATGATATGCGTGTGTATTTGAAAATAAATGCCAGGTAGATGCAAAAATGGTGTTATGTAAAAAGAGATTGATGTGTCTTTTAGGACATTTAAGCAAGCTATTAATAAATAGGAAGTTATTTGTAAATTAAGCTGATGAACAGGTGGATTAACATTACCATGAAAGGATTTCTTTATGAATGAACCTGTGGGTTAGAGTTTCTCAATGGGTGCTATTGGCATTTGGACAGTCCCTTGTTTATCCCCCATTCACTAAATGCTGATAGTGACCCTCACATTGGGACAACCTAAAATGCTCCATTTCCAGACTCCTGGAGGAGAGAGGTGCCATTTGGTTGCAAAACCCCATGAATGGTAATCATTTATTTGTTGGACAGATAAATATCTGAGGGCTTGTTAGCAACAGACACTTTCCTGGATGTTGGGAGTATGGAAATTAAGAGTAGTTTAATAAACTATCGTGTGAAATGTATGTTGTTGCTAGCGTGTGACCCTGGGCAAGTAATTTCATTAACTTTTCTCTCATTTGCAAGTGGGAGTGGTGATAACATCTTTGAAGGAATTAAGTGCAAAATTGCCTAGGGTAATTAAAGTGCTTAATTATTACATAGTACGTATTCAGTAAGTGATTATCATTACCAGTAAACAGAATCTCAGACTTACTACAGCGATTCTGAGGAAAACTAACAAGTTTTTAGTCTTTTACTTGATGAATGTCAGGTTAGAATACATTGTGTTAGAGCGATCCGCACCTTCTAATGAAGGGGGTACAAACTTTTGGCATCTCTACGCCACAGTGGAAGAAGAGTTGTCTTGGGCCACACATTAAATTGTGACACATAATCACAAACAAATCTCAGTGTTTTAAGTAAATTTATGATTTTGTGTTGGGCTGCATTCACAGTTGGGCTGCATCTTGGGCTACATGCAGCCCATGAGCCGCAGGTTGGACACCTTTGCATAGAATCTAATGAAACATGGTATTGTTGTCCAGTCACTAGTCTGAAAAACCAGTTTGAAAGAAAAGGGAAGTAATATTTTGGGAGCCATGAGTGTAGATTCAGGGAATCCCGTGGCATGGAAGGAATTGGTTGTTCTGGGCAGCTGCTGAGTTGCCCTTGGGCGAGAGGAGGTCTCTGGGAACTCAGGGTTCTGAAGTGCCCTCCTCGCCGTGCCCACCAGTGTGTCCAGCTTTACCAGAAATTACAGTAAATTTTCTGGCATTTAAAATACTCTCTCTGTATTC